CTCCAGCTGAAGGTGCGAATGCAACGAGGCCGACTCCGCAATGCACAAAGCAGCCTCGACTCGCTTAAGGACGAATCAGAGCGCCTGTCCAAAGAGGAACTAGACGACGCCAAGGCCCAGCTCGACGAGGTCATCAAAGTGTTCAACAAAGAACACTCACACTTTGAGGTGGTGTGGCCAGCAGCACAGGCAGATCACCCTTATTTCAACGATGACTGCCATTATCAAATGCAGCAGATCGGCACCATGGCGAAGAAGATCATCGCCAAAAGAACTGCGGAATTGCCCGCTCAGCCGACCGCTCAACCGGGAAAGGTGACGTACACCAAATCGAAGCTGCCGGACATCGAGTTGCCACGGTTCACGGGCAACTATACAGAGTGGCCCTCCTTCCTTGAGCTGTTCAACTCAGTGGTGTGCAGTAAGCCCGAGCTAGAGCAGGTTGAGAAATTTTATTATTTAAAATGATGCCTGCTTAAATTGTATCTAGCTTGCCGCTCATCGGCTCATCACTCTCCGCTGCCATCGAGCTGCTCAAGCAGCGTTACGAGAACAAGAGGAGGCTCGTTCAAGCTCATCTGGATCAGCTGGCTTCACTGCCAATGGATCAAGACCAGGCCAAGGCACTCAGCCAGCTGATGTCAACTGCCCTGGAGACCCGGCATGCAGTGCAGAAACTGATCGAGCCAGGAAAGCTCGGCGATTGCATGCTGGTTCACCAAGCGTGTAGAAAAATGGACCGCTCAACCAAGGAACGATGGAAATCGGCATTCGGCGTCTCAACGGACTACCCATCGTTCGAGAAACTGATGGAGTTTATTACCTCCAGGGTAAGGACACTGGAGAACTTGGCCGACGACAGCGAGAGCAGCGACCACCAAGTCCGCTCCTGTCAAGCCCGCTCAACCCAGGGCGCAGCAGCCGACAGCAAGCAGACCGGTTCACGCAGCTGTCGCAGCAAGACCAGAAGCTCCTGCTCGCCAACCAGCTCACCGATCAACCACACAGGAGAGATCATATTTGGAGCGCCCATCCCCATTCGAACGATGTGATTGCTGTGGGCAGCAGCATTATATCGTTGAATGCGAACTATTTCGGGGGATGACTCCAAATCAGCGGGTGCAGACAATTAAGGCTCAGCGCTTATGCTACAACTGTCTGGGCAGGCATAACGTCTGCTCATCCAAGTCTGCCCAGAAATGCAAACAGTGTCGGCTGCAGCACCATGCGATGCCGAAGCCGAAGCCGAAGCCACTGCCGCCAAACGCTCCAGCTCCAGCCGGCTCATCCCAAACGGCCTCTTCATCCGCTCAGACCACCGAGTAGGAACTTGGTGCAGTCGTCAACCAGACAGATCACTGAACGCTCCTGGCAACGGCTCAAGCGCTCCTCAAGACTGAATCTTCACTCCACAAAGCTCATTTGCTCATCGACTCCGGATCAGAAATTTCCTTCATCTCCGAAGAATTAACCAGCCTGCTCAACCTTCGGAGACACCGATCATCCATCACAATCATTGGTGTTGGTGGAACAAAATCAACTGAAACTCGCGGTGTGGTTGACATCACACTGCAGTCAACACATTCACAACAGACAATTTCAATGCAGACTCACGTGCTCACAGCCGTATCGACAATCCTGCCATCGTTCTCAATGAGAACTCCAGACTGGCCTCACCTCAGAAAATTGAGGTTAGCGGACAATGATTTCTTGACACCACGATCAGTCGACGTAATCATTGGAGCGGATTTCTACGGATCGATCATCAAACCAAACATCATAAAGGGATCACCAACAACACCAATTGCTCAACTTTCCATCTTTGGATGGTTCGTCATCGGCCCAGTCAACGAATCATCGACAATTACAAATTATTCGCACTTTGCAGTTGTTCACGAAGACCAGAGCAATCTGCAAGAGCTGCTTACCAAATTCTGGGTTCAAGAGGAGTCACCGATGGACGCTCCAAGCACGCTCACACCGGAGGAAGAAGAATTCGAAGCACATTTCTGTGCAACTCACTCTCGGGACTATACAGGAAGATACATCGTTCGCATTCCACTCAAGGCACCAGCATCACTTCTAGGCAATTCACACAAGATTGCTCAAAGATGTCTTCAAAGCACCTTGCGACGACTCTCCAAGGATTCAACATACAACCAGCTCTACGTCGAGTTCATGAAAGAGTACGAAGAATTGGGACACATGGTAAAGGCTCCAGATCATCAACGGATCACTCCAAGAGAGGCTGAGAACGTTGGGCCTGATGGGGAGATGACCTTGGCACATGATGCTTCGGCATCAGGAGGGTTGAGGGTCTCTTCTGACGGTTCAGCACCTCAGTCCTCTGCTCATCATCAACCATACTATTTGCCTCACCATGGAGTTCTACGTCTTGACAGTTCAACAACGAAGCTCAGGGTTGTATTCAATGGATCAAAGGCTACGACATCAGGCAAATTAGTCAACGATTTAATGCATACTGGTGCTAATTTGCTCTTAAATGTTACAGATGTTCTATTTTGGGTTCGCCATTATCACCATATTTTTGCCACAGATATCACAAAAATATATCGCCAGGTAGCAGTTCACAAGGATGATTGGGATCTCCAGCGAATTCTTTGGATCGATGAAGACCGGAATGTCATTCCTTACCAGCTCACAACTGTCACGTATGGCACAAAGGCAGCTCCCTTTCTGGCGACACGAGCACTCATGCAGCTGGTTCACGACGAGGGTCATCGATTCCCTCTCGCCACGCCTTCGCTCACACATGGTAGATATGTGGACGATATCTTTGGAGGAGCAGATTCAGTAACGGAACTTGTGGAGGTCGCTCAACAGCTGATTGCATTGTGCAACGCGGGCGGATTTCTACTCGCAAAATGGCATGCGACTCACCCAGACTTACCAAGGGTTGTTTCGTCATCCACACAATCATCAGCTCCCATATCATTTGACGACTGCACTACCAAATTACTCGGAATTCAATGGATGCCTCAAACTGACGCATTTGGCTTTTCATCAATCTTGACTGATCAACCAAGTAAGTGTTCAAAACGCCTCGTATTATCCGAAGTGGCTCGGATATTTGATCCATTAGATTTCGTCTCACCGGTAATAGTACGAGCAAAAATGCTATTACAAGAGCTCTGGCTACACAAGATCAATTGGGACGATCCATTACCGTCTCAAATTGTTTCACGCTGGTTCATTATCAGAGAAGATCTCAAAAGTTTGGCCAAACTAACAATTCCAAGGTGGTTCAACACATGGAGCAATTCAACTGTGGATATTCATGAATTCTCTGATGCTTCTCAACTTGCCATGGCAGCTGTGATTTATATCACTGTTAGCTCGCCGTCCAACCACTCAACGACGTCAATTGTCTGTTCCGAAACAAAGGTTGCACCACTGAAAAGGCTCACCATCCCCAGATTGGAGTTGTCTGCAGCACTCCTACTGGCGAAGCTCGCCAAATATGTTCAATCAACGCAACGCACGTGTGGACGAATTCTCAAGTCTCCCTCATATGCATAAAGTCGCAAGCATCACGTTGGAAGGATTATGTTCGGAACAGAGTCATTCAGATCCAACAACTCACTCCAAATGCACATTGGAAACATGTTCCAGGTACTTCTAATCCAGCCGACTGTGCTTCCCGAGTCATTTCGACGGATCAACTCCAACGACTAGAGCTCTGGTGGAAAGGTCCTCCATGGATGGCTCTAGATCACGATCATTGGCCAGAGCAAAAGGAATTCTCAACTTTAACCAGCGAGCTCGAAGTGAGACCCAATGTCTCCCTTTTTGCTTCAGCTCAAAAGCTAAGTTATCATTGGGATCTCATTTATAAATATTCGTCTCTTATTAAGCTGTATAGACTGACTGCACTTTGTTTCAGGTTTGCCTCACGGCTTAAGAGAAAGTTCGAAGCTCCACCCGTGATGATTATTCCATCCTGCGACATGGAGAAGGCGCAGCACTTTTGGATTCACGTAACTCAACACCTGTATTTCGCCAACGAAATCAAGATGCTCAACTCAAGCTCAACCCTGCCTGCAACTCACCCTTTCAGTCGCCTCACCGCCTTCATCGATTCGCAGGGAACAGTACGAGTAGGAGGAAGACTCACCAGCACAGCGCTCAGCAGGGACGAAAAACATCCAGCGATCCTCCCACGGGACGCTCACCTTTCGAAGATCATCATTGAAGACGCTCACAACCGAACATTCCGCGGAGGAACGCAGCTCACGCTCGCATATGTTCGACAACGGTATTGGATCATCGGTGGAAGAGCTCCTGTAAAATCTCACATCTTGAGATGTGTCGTGTGTGTTCGTCAGAGGAGGATTCGTGCTCGTCAGATGATGGGCCAACTACCTCTCTCTCGTGTCACACCATCACGACCATTCGCTCACACCGGTGTCGATTATGCTGGACCGATCACGATGAAAAATTCAAAGGGAAGAGGCTCGAAAACGATCAAAGGATGGATCTGCGTGTTAGTATGTTTCCCCTCGTCGGCAGTTCACCTTGAGGTTGTCAGCGACTACTCCACGGAAGGATTTCTGGCAGCCTACAGGAGATTTTCATCGAGACGAGGGATCGCTCACAAATTGTATTCTGACTGTGGTACCAACTTCATTGGAGCACAGGCAGAGCTCAAACGCCTGTTCACGTCAAGTTCAAAGGAGCACCAACAAATTGCATCGATCCTGTCAGCAGACAACACTCAATAGATGTTCAACCCACCACCTGCTCCTCACATGGGAGGAAAATGGGAAGCGGTAGTAAAATCAATCAAGTACCATTTGAGGAGAACAATTGGTGAGCTCTTACTAACATTCGAAGAGTTTTCCACTCCCCTCACACAGATCGAAGCGGTGCTCAACTCCAGACCGTTGGAGCCGCTCAGTGACGATCCCGACGATATCTCTGCGCTGACCCCAGGACACTTCCTGATCGGATCAGCGCTCAACACAATACCAGAACCATCACAGCTCGAAGTTTCACCAGGTCGGCTGTCAAAATGGCAACTGATCCAGCAAAGGGTTCAGCACTTCTGGTCTCAGTGGTTACGACACTACCTGCAGAGACTTCAGTCAATTTCAAAGTGACATCATCGGTCTCACGACATCAAGACAGGCTCGTTGGTGCTGCTCACGAACGAGCATCTTCCACCGAGCAAGTGGCCACTTACAAGAGTGACCGAAGTTCACCCCGGTAAGGATGCCCTCACCAGGGTCGCAACTGTGAAGACTGCAACCACGACTCTCGTCCGACCGATCACCAAGCTTGTCATCCTGCCTGTTCACCATCAAGCTGAGCTCACACCTGCAGAATCATCATCAACGAGTTGCTGATGGCGGGCGGAAATGTTTGAGAATCCGCTCAGCCATGATGGCGCTCACGGTCAATCGGTTCATCGATCGGGAGTCGTCCATCTAAGTCAACGCGTGAGCAGGGGTCTTCTCACCGGCGTGCACACAACGCCGCCATTATCGATCAACGTATCAAGTCGATCACCACGTGCTCAAAAAAGGTTCAGTGTAGTTCATCTGAGCGTGTCTCAATCAAGTGCTCATCAACCCCGATTCACTGTTCACGATCCTCCGCATCTGTGCACGCGATCAGGATCACCAGGTAATGTTCTGTATACACTAATTCAATACATACGTGCGATGCCGACCATGTGTTAATCTCGCACATGTTCACAGGCATCATCAAAGAGCGAGCCGAATTTATAAAATTAACGGGGCTTATTGTTCATGACCACAGATCAAACCAAATTGTTAAATTCCACGGATCACGGTAATCGCTCATCTATTTATTTGTATTGCGTGTTCAACGAACAAATTGTCCGATCAGTGTGTTCAACGATTATTTTATTTGTAACTCAAATAAATCAATTTGTAAGAACCCATCCAGCAAGCGTAAAATTATTTCCGGCGCAATCCTTCCGGGATCGACACTAATCCCGAATACACAGCACTCTTTTAGTGGCCTAAAATTGCTTCGATTCCGCAACTACATTTTGTCGATTTATTCCTCCACTTTGGACGCTTATATTATTAAACATCAACATAATCCCACTAAAACATGAATGCAGCGGTGTGCATTGGACCTTCCTCTTTCGAATAAGCCCTCACCCAGCCCCAAATGTTCTCATATAAAGACGAAAAGGGTAGTCCCGTAAACCCATGTTTAGGCCCATTTTTGCCGGTAAAGTCAACGCGCTACTATTATCCATGTCTACCCCCTTAAGGAGTAAATTTTGATTAAACATAACTATTAATAAATACAAGAATTTTTTAGCTATTAAACACAAAGGTAATTATTATTATAATTAATCATGAAATACAAAGAAAATAAATAAGCTGTTACAAAAATTATATGAAAATAAGAAAATAAATGTTTACACATATATATTTTTTCTTAGATTTTTTTCTTTTTTTTTATTATTATTCCTCGTACTGTGGGATGTTATAGCCTTCCCCCTGTTTTAGTCTCTTGTCCACAAGAGACTCTTGTGTGGATCTTCTTTGGTTGCATATATGGGATTGGCATTTTTCTTTGTCATTTCTCGGAGATGAGGCTAATCTTCCAAATAGTCGTAATATCTTTGCGTGTTTTCTCCCTGGGTCTGTCTTCTTTAATTTTTTGAATGTTTTCCAGTCAGGCTCCGGAACTTCAATGAGGGTTAATCTCCATGGTGATGCTTCTTCTCTCTGGTTAGATTGCGTTGGAGCCTTTTGAAAGATATTCAAGCTGATTAGTAAAAATTATGGAATTTAAAAAGATGTGATTATACCTCTTTAAGTTGTTTAAGAGCTTTTCTTAAACGTTTTAATTGCTGTCGTTTTCCAGCGTATCGAACCAATATTAGAGTTTTAAAAACAAATATGGCGTACTTTAGGTGGCGCTTTACGCTTTTCTTTCTCCTTCTATTACTCTCTCGGTCTTTCCTCTTCTAGGAAAGACCAAAATGGCGTTAAGATTCGCTGAATGAAACGCTTTTATTATCCGGCTTCGAAAAGGAGGAAGATACTCAATTCGATGTGTATGTATTTTTTTTTTTTTATGTATGTTTGCCGATTACTCAGAGGCAGATCGACCAATCGGAACAAAACTTTTTGTGACCTGTAGAGTATAACTCCCCATTGGTCCCGTAAAAAAAATATTTTGCATTGTTTCATTCCTAACGACTATTTTTTCTAAATGTATGTTCGCCGATTACTCCGAGATGGATGGACCAATCGGAACGAAACATTTTGCATCTTGTAGAGTATTTCTCCCACTTGGTCCTGTCAAAGAGACATTTTGTATTTTTTCATTGCTAACGATCTTTTTGCAAAGAACGTAATGGTGGATTTATATTTTTCACCGATTACCACGAGACGGATGGACCAATCGGATCAAAAATTTTGCATCTTGTAGAGTATACTTCCCGATTGGTCTCGCAAAAATATGTTTGCATTTTTTCATTCCTAACGACTTATATCGCAAAAAACGTAATACTTCATTTATATCTTCTGGCGTTTATGCTGCAAGGAATGTATCGTTTGCGATGAAACCTTTCATATTTAGTTGGATATACAGGGTGTCACGCGACTACCTCGACAGACGAAGAGGGATGATTGCTAAGGTGATTCTAAATAACTTTTCCCTTTGCCAAAATGTTGGTTAAGGCTTGGTTTTCGAATTATTAACAAAAAACACCGACCAATCCAAGCGCGTATAGCGCGCGGTTTCAGGGACTGCAGTGTCGGCTACGAATACCAGGTCTAACGTAGGTCGCGAAAGAACGGCTTGGCATCCCGTTGGCATAGCACAATAAAAAAACTGAACTGGTAGAATATTTTTAGTCGTTGTTTAGAATGAATACAGAACCCAATCTCTTGTCGCCTGTCATAATGTAAAAAAGGAAATTCTAAGGATTCTAAACAACAAATAAAAATGTTTTAAGGGGGTAGACACAGCACGTGACCTCTCCGATTCGGGACGTCGATATTACAGCAGTTTTTTCGTTGGGCCTGGTGGAGCCACTTGCGTGGTCTGGTACGAACTTGAAAGGTTTAATTCTCAGCTAGCGTGCGCGCAACACGATCTAGGAAGGCAACAGCGCCTCAAGTATTTTTACAAACACATTCAACCGCTCATCTCGCCAGGGGCATTGCGACGAAACGCCTGAAGAACGAAAGCGAAACATTGGCGTGTGTTTAGAGTGAGATGTACGGTGATCGTGCTATCCTTCTTTCAACCCAAATGATTGAATTGCCCCGCTCCGATAAATTCTGACTGACTGAACGCGTGGATTTTATATAGCGCACCGTAGCATCCCTCGCTGCTGAAAAATATATGCCTACTCTAATGAACCGAAGGAACGTGCAATCTGATAAATTTTTTAGAGAAAGTTATTAACTTCTTTAAATAAATGTTTTTTAATTAATAAAAATATACAGGATACGTCATGCAATTTCTGACGGGTTATATCTTGAATTTCGTAAGAGATAGGAAAAAGCTGTTTATGTAAAAGTTCAATAGTATGATAATGTCTATTTTTCTGTGATTTCATTTTCTCCATGATTGCAACGATGCACTCAAAAAATGCAAATCCGCTTTTTATTTAAATGGAATTGCATTTTTTTTTTTACTTGTGTCAACTCCTTGAAACATTCTGCATAAAAACGTACTATGGTACTATTAGAACTAATAAATGGAGGGACCTCGCGTCTACATATACAGTAAAAGCTGAATATATGCAACAAAGTTTAGGAACCAGACGTTGCATACATCCAGCCGAGATGTCGAATCTCGAACTAGATGCGACGACCAGCCAAGCATGAACGTAGAAAGGGACAGACAGTGGAGGAGAGAGAGAGAGGTCTAATGATCAAAGGAAGGAGCCGAAACGTATCGGTGTGACTAATACTAATTCAATTATAAAACTTTTTTATTTTTGACTTTTTTTACTGAAACTTTTACTAGCGCATTGGTAAAATTTTTCTGATTAAAATGATACCAAACACGATATAGTTTGGATGGGGCGAGGTTATGGGGCGCTGTGAAAAACCCAGGCGTGCCGCAGTCAAAACTTAGTGAAAAGGGACAATCTCAACATTCAGAGTGAAAGAAGGACAGCATGACTGTAGTGTGTCTCACTCAGCGTTCGGGCGATGTTGCCGTTTTCGCTTGCCTTCGCAGCAGAGTTCGAGTGACGTAATCAAGCTAATGCTTGAATCTGACTACGATTCCA